CGGCCTGCGGGCCCCTCCCCTGCCCCCGCACGGCTGCAGCTGCACCGCGGACACTCCGCTCGGTCTGGGGACGCGGAGGGGCCGGAGCGTGCCCAGGGAAGAGCCGCTCCAGAGTCTGGAGAACAGATCCTGTGAGGAGCATCTGAGGGAACCGCTCAACCTGGCAAAAGGGAGATGGAGGGGAGACCGCGCTGCTCTCCAGCGCTGCCGGACGGGAGGCGGCAGCGGGATCAGTCTCTGCTGCCAGCGAGCGAGCCACAGGATTAGAGGAAACGGCCCGAAGCTGCACCAGGGGAGGCTCAGACTGGGGTTTGGAAGAAACTTCTGCACTGAGAAAACGCTGAACGGGCCGTCCAGGGGGAGGGCTGAGTCCCCATCCCGAGGGACGTGGTGCTGAGGGACCTGGTCTAGCACTGGAGGCGGTGGAGTTAGGTTAATGGTTGGTACATTTAGGTTACAGTTGGACTCAACGATCTTCAAGGTCTTTTCCAACTCGAACAATTGAGCGATCCTGTGTGAACGGGCTCCCCTCACAACACGTCCCACCCGCAGACACGACGGCACAAGAGTCACAACCCCGGCGCTGGCTCAGCCAGGCTTTTATTGCTGTGCTTCAAACGTAACAATTCCCGGCATAACACAAAAACAAAACACAATCCTTTCAGGAAGCAAAGCACTGCAACCCCCTCAGGAACAGCAGCTGCTCCTTGGTGCACAGCAGCCGGGTCGGGGCAGCACCGACCTGCCACGCCAGGGGCAGGGGAGCTGGAGCTCCTCGAGCTGGCATCCGGCGCCCGAGTTTCCCATCAGACAACTCAAAAAACCTTACGTGAGCGTCACAACCGGATTCTGTGCTAACACCAACCGTGTTAAGTCACTTCCAGCTCCCTGCATGAAGGTGAGAAGGATATCAAGTCCCTGCCATCACTTCTCCTAGCAGTGTGCTGACATCCTCATTTACAGGAAGTTTGTAGACATATCTATGTACACAGGAGCATTTTCAAAGTTCATGATAAACATCTTTAGCTTCTTATTTAGTTATAATGTTATTACTTTTTAAAGTGTTCAATACATTATCATAAGCCTTGGTATCTAGATACCTTAACTCATCCAGTAATTTAATAATAGCTTGTTTTTCTCCCAGTGTGTTTTTCCAGGTGAGAAGCATCTGATAACATTGCTCTTCTCTATCATTAGGAAAGTCATAAATAATTTTAGTAATATCATTTTCCTGCAGCTGAGTTCTCATAAGTGGCTTCCATTTTCTGGGTGGTACTTCATTTATAATGACCTGCAAGGTATCTCTCAGCTCTGAAAAAAAAACAAAACCAACACACAACATACATCAGCCTAGGTTTTAACATACAGATTTTTGTTTTCACAGCTAATGTATATGTTTTCCCATTAATGTTCAACAAATCCAGGTACAGACCAAACAGCAACAGCAAGGCCAGGTCTGGCACTTAAGAAGCGACAGAACAAATAGTTTCCCTACTGAGTGATCTTGAACAAAGCTAAAGGTATCAGTCTACCTATCTCAAAAGCAGCCTCTTCAGATGAGACACTATTCAGTAAAGGTGGTTGGAGAAGGGCTTTATTGGCCTGCAAGTCTTTGCTTAAGCTTAATAGGGCTACTCAGCAGTAGGCTTTAACCACTTTACTGTGCTACTAGTATAGGTTTGCCAAGCCAAGATCAGCATGAGCAAAACAGGTCCCTTGGACATCCAGCACATCAACTTGCAGGCCATAGGGAGCAATACATTGATGCAATGTGGTCTTCCATGTGAGAGGACATTTGACAGAAAGTTCTCCTGCTGTGACCTACGTGTCACTCATTACAGCAGAGTACACTGCTACAATGCAAACTTGTTTAAAACATATACATAAATATTGTACCATTCTTACTCTGAAAAGCATGACTGCACTATACTCTTGTGCAGAAAAGCCACACTTCAATTCACCATGGGGATTACAGCTTTTCTCAAACATAGTAATCATTCTGTTTTGGCATATTTTATAGCAATCTGAAAGCGTTATAGCTCTAAGCAATACTCATTAGCCTCCCTACACTATTCCTTCAGTAGACTAAAGTCAACAGGAAAAAAACCTCAAATTCCAGGTTCTGTCATTTATGGAAAGCTTACCTCTTTGAGAGAGATCTTTAACTTGTATTTGACAGTGTGTGCGTCGTGCCTGTAATACAAAGTTGAACCATTATTCCAACATTTCAGAACACTTCTCTCCTGATTTGGTAGCTTGCTTTCACAGCATACACACCAACAGGGGGAGGAGGTCAGATTTCACAGCACAGCTGAATGTATTTGAATGAAAAAAATCACATGCTGAAACAGCCATACCTACTAGCTCCAAAGTGAAGCAACGAGAAAACACATTTGCTAGTATTGCAAAAGACTAACTTTTGTGTAAATATTGATCAGGGAGATGAGAGAGGCTGAGCAGATTAAATGAGAAACTGAAGTTTGTTTTCCCAATATCACTTCCCATACTTTCTATTCCATCTTTAAGGCAAAGCCTTCTCTTCCCTGTCATTATTCCTGAAAACGGCACTCAGTCAAGAAACAGCTATGAACTCAACTGAAACTGCACATGTATCAGAGAAAATACAATTACAATTTCACACACACACTTACCCTATGTTTTGCTGGCATCCTACCCTTTCGTACCTTCGGTGGGGCATTCCGACAAAAAGCAGGATTCTGCCTAGTTTTTGCTGGTAGTGAAGGGTTGGTGATCTTCTTCCAGCACCTTTCCATGTGGCACCCTAAGCTGCAATGTGAGGTGGTGCCCAGCTCAGAAAGCTGATCACTGTTTTCCTCTGGTGATGTGTTTTTTAATTCCAAGTTATCATTGGTTTGGGCTTGGCCCTCTGGGCTCTCATGAGAGTTCTCATCCTCTAGGTTGACTGTGGTATTTGCAGGTGTGTCTCGTGGTAAAATCAGGCTTTCAGTACTGCCCTCTGACTCCTGTAAAGAGTAAGAACATAGTTGAAGAAATATTTTGTAGGTCGACTTTCAAGGACAGTCTGGAGGTAAAAAGCCAGAATACTTGAAGTCACCAGATGTCAGAGAAATGAGAGGAGAGCTGCTAGTTTGGTAAAGTTACAAATGTGCAGAAGTTACAGCTTTCAACCTTAGATCCTTCACTTCCCTGGCTGTTCTGCAGAGTAAGGCTCACAGGCTACCTCCACAATAAATGCAGGAAACTTCTCCTCATGTTTTCACTGGCACGTACTGCTGCATGCTACTCCAGGCATAGAAGGTATGCATTCCTCCTGAGGCAGGAGGAAATGAAATTGCCTTGCTGCACCTGAGCTGACTTAACAGCAACAGGGGCCTCAAGCCTCCCCATGTATCAAGGCTGATTCCCAGAGCTTTTGCCAAGCTGTTAATAGTGTATCAGCTCCATGCAAGTGCATGAGCTTGAGTTTTGGGTTTGTTTTTTTTTTTACTGGATTAAGTTTCTTCTGGTAGATTCACAAACCAGAATGAGTTGAAATAAGCCCATAAGCACCAGTTCACATTGCATAGTTTCTGTGAGGGGGCAAAGAGAGAAGCCAGGAGGGCTGTAGCACTTTTAGCATTCTTAAAATATTAAACAAGCATATGCCAGGGGGTATAGATCCAAGCCATCAAGAACAGTACAAGTACAAAGCAGACCAGCATCTGTCTGGCATATCAGCTAGTGCCAAAACTGGAAAGCTTTAGGAATTTTATTTTTTCTAAAGGTGGAAAATCAGGCCAAAGAGTGACTTCTTCCAACAAGGATTGTGTTTATTAAGGGACAGTTTCCCCCAGGAGCATAAGGCACCATGATTTCTGTTTGTACAAGGTCTGTGACCCAGGTGTGACACCACCATGTGACCAACATGCGTAAGCAGGGATGTGAGGGGGACGACCCCACATATCACACATGTAGTTGTACATTGAATCCACTTTAAGGGTGCAAACAGGTGGAACAGGTTGATCCTATTTATATAGAATAGTTCTAAATAAGTAGCTGAGCAACTGAAGGTACACAGCACCACTAATAGCTGCTGGTCTATTTTGGAATGAAATGAAGTATCAGCAACTTTTTTTTTTTTTTTTACAGCAGTATAAATTCACTGGTACTTTGTAAAGAACAGCAGGTTGGTGCCAAAACACTTGGTCTTAGTGTAACTCTCCTCAGCAGATATGCTTTTTCTTACAGTAGCATGAACACTTCCAAGTATGCAGACATTGCAACTCAAGTCTGTGACAACTCTCTTGTCAGAGCTAAGTGTCACCGTGCACCAGTTTGTGATTGCATTATTCTACTACCCTTTTATTCAACATAAAGAGAGGTTTAATTTGCCTATTCCTATGCATTTTGACCAGGTTTTCTGTCACATTTCTTCATCAGCTTCTATGAATACACGAAGCACTGTGAACCTGGCCAGGGCATGTGGGGGCACACAACCCAAGAAAGACCCATGGGTGATTCATGTATTTGAGCCACTTATGGACCTTAAAAAAAGAAAATAATTTAAGGTGATGTTTTTAACACATCTTTTGATTCTGTTTCTTCAAGTATCCAAGACATTTCAAGTAATTAAATGCATCTTGATTACATCAAGCTAGTAAGAGCTCACACACCAGGTGAGCAGTGTATGCATTCGGTGGGGGACAAGAAAGGCAGCAGGGAGAAGATGCAGGAAGAAGGCACAGGTGCTAGTAGAGAAATCTGGACATTTTTCTTAGATCCTTATCAAGACAGATTTGTTGTACAGCTTGGTGTTACACACCATTATATAGTGAAGACTGATCTCATTCTTGCACCACCATGCTGTCAGGAGCATAGCTTCTAAACAGAGAAGCTAAAGCCAGACTAGCTAAATACAAGCTAGTCTTGTATTTATCTTGCAAAATGCTAACTAGCAATAATCTTCAGACTCAACAGCAGCTTCTGAAATAGTTTGACTAAAGGAGGCCAGGGTGAACCTGGCTCTAAAGGGGAACATATGCCAGTAGCCAGCCTCAACTTTGTGAAGCCTTTTCAGGGATGTACTTCTGAACTGGTATGCTCTGAGCCCTGAGCCCCTTGTCTTATAGGACTGCACAGGACCAAGTTAGACACCCAATATGCAACATGAGCTAAAAGGCAGGAATACTCAGTCACTTTGCTGGATGACGTAAGTCAGTCATATGAACACAAAATTGTAAGTCAAAATGCAAGGAAAGCTAGAACACCATCATGCAAGTTATAGATGGCATTGCCTGGGGAATGGACAAATGCAACAGCAACTAACTAATTGGATCAAGGCATCACTTAGAGACAGTTTGAAGTGAAAGTTTACACTTAGCCTAATTTTTTTTTTCCACTTTCAAAACATTCTGGCCATGGGCTGCAGCATTTTTTTAAGGGAAATCCTGGGAAAGGTAATTGCAGTGGACACATGCAGCTAATGAATGCATCAGTCCCTTGCTAACATCCAGCCCTGTATGAATCACAACTTGTCACATCACAGGAACCCATCCTACCCATAGGTCTAGGGCAAGATGAAAACAGAGAGCTGTGTTTCAGGTACAATTAAGCAGTGCACAACTAAGCTGCAGAAAACTGAGAGGAAACACTTGATCCATCATATACTTACCAGACCTTTGTCCACATCTTTATCAGTTGAAGCAGCTGGAAAACAAGATGGATGTCTAAGAAACTTTTAGGAATTGAAGCAACTTAAAAACGCCAGCTGAATTCACACAAGATTTATATGCTATATACACATTTGTAACACAAACCAAAGCTCCAACCCAAGCCATTTAGTTTCCTTGACCTATCATGTTTCATGAGACCCTTACCTCTTAGCCTCCACTAATAGCACAGGTTTTGCACTGTGCCTTCATACAGAGCATGAAGGGTCCTGCTTAGTAAAATATAGACCATAAGATGCAGTTCGGCTTTTAAGCCACTTTTTCAACCTCCCCCCACCTCCAACTTATGCATTTCTCTGGGCCACTTCAATACAAAAGGCAGAAATAATCTTTACTGCAATACAATCAATAAGACATAATTTGAACAGTTATTCAAAATAATTTTAAAAATTATTTTAACTAAACTAGTTGCAAAAACTTCAATATGCTTTAGTGCAAAGTTTCACAGGAAAATCCCTATTTCCACTTAAAAAAACCAAACACCAACTAATTCACACAGGACTTACCATGAATGTTAGATTCATGGCTTTGTTTGATGGTAAGTGACTTAAATGATGACAGGGCAACAATTGCTAGAAAAAAATCCCCACAGCCAAACACAGTGAATGAAAGTCATTAATGATCTAACTAGTTGCTACTTCTTGCCCCATGTCTGAACTCATACATGGATTTTTCTCACACTTTGCCAATACAATGCAATTAGATCAGAAGGCTTTTAAGGACCTTATGCTAACCTTGCTTTGAAGGCATCTCTCAGTCAAGCAAGAAAGCTCAAAGTTTATGCATTTTATTTACTGAACTAAACTAGTTTCCATTATGCAGGAGCTGATTGAATTAATATTGAATATTATAATAGTAATTTAAATCACATACTAAATGAGCTAGAGCTTAAACAGGCCCCTGTTTAAGGGGCTAGTCTTAGTGTCTGCTTTGCCAAGTTCTGGGAAGTTCATGGATGGTAATCAAGTAGTTACCTTTTCTACTCTTCAGCTTTCTAATTATAAAGGTCAGCAATACAACAAGAACAACCAAGACAGTCAGACCAACGACAATAGCTAAGCCTCCTATGAAGGAAAAAGGAACAAAATTAGTACAGAAGTACTGAAGCAGTCCCCAAACAAGATATCCTTAAGTGCAAGTCTTGCCTGCTTCTCAGACATAGATGTAAAAGAAATCTTTGCACTATTTGTAACTTCCAACAGCATCACTGTTGCAACTTTGAAACCCCTAGCAATACACATAGCTCTTCACAGCGAGAAATTTAAGATGGTTTGTTGTTCCAACTTCTGAGAGCTTGTCTTCAGCAAGTAATTCTAAGACCAAAATACAGCAGCTCTTAAACATGTTACAGTAGCTCAAAACACTGTTTTACAGACTGCTCTGGTGTTAGCAGTCTGAAGCCAGAAACCCAACCAACCAAGCTGAGTGGTATTTGAGTACCAAACCTTGACCAGGTGAGTCACATCCTACACCTGTGGTAGCATTGCAGTTCTGCACAGTGTCTTTCCCTTCTGGATACCTGAAGTGGATAGCAACAGAGGTTTCTATCAGCATTTCCAGAGCAATACGAAGCTCTGCCCAGGCTTGATTTTTTTCAGGCAGAGCTTAGAGACATAAACACAACACTCAAACAGGTAACCTTTTAAAAAGTGCACCTTTAAAGAAACAAAAATACTACTACAAGATTAAATATAAGCAAAGCAGATAAAACTTATCTATGTTAGCCTGAGTGTCCGAGCAGATGCATTATTCATGCAGTTAGTTTCCTTCAACAAGTGGTTCTACCTCCTGAAATTTTGGACCAGCTAAAACAGCACTCATTCACATGTGTATGTGGGGAAGTACGAATCTGAAGGTGTGAAAAATATTAAGCTTACAGCCATAAGCAAGAAGCACAATACCAAAAGCTGTATCTTCCTAGGTCTCAACCTCATGTAATTTGACACTAAAAATTGAAACACATCAATAATCCTATTTGGCTTCAGGGGAACAATATACAGCTTAATAATCATGTTAGGTATTGGCACAGATTTGGCCACAACTTTAACACTACTAGAAGGAAAACAGTCGCTTATATTAATTATCAAACTTACGTTGTACTCCTTCTCTGACATATTTCACAGCCCTCAGTAGGGCAGAAATACCCTTGTTTGCATTGGCATTCAGTATCACGTGTCAGAGTACAGGTTCTCAAAGTTATCTGATCTGAAAGTAAAATATAAGATACAAATATAAGAAGTTGTGACTCTCTACAACTGTGCAAAAATTATACTCAGGCCATAAAGGCAATTTATTAGTAAGTTCAGTATTCTCAATGGCTGGAAGTGCAAAAAGCTCAGAGGACACATTAAAAAAGGGGGAAAAGGGTTAAGGTGTCATCAAAATTGTGCTTGGTACCGTCTTTGCACTGCCTGCAGGTTAAGCATTCTTCCAAGCCATTCGCATGGGCAGTGTAACTCTCTCCTGCAGTGCAATTCTCACATCTTCCTCGTGAATGCGGAGTACTGCAGTGGGCAGCAACGTAAGTACCTGTGGAAGAGAAGTGGCAGCAGCAGGAGACTCAGAGGATCACTTAACAGGCAGAGGACTGCAACAGGATGTTACAACACAAAGCCATTTTGAGGGAAGTTCAAGCCCTTGGAAGTGAATGGTGAACCGAGCCCTGCAGCAGGGTGAGGAGGCAAGCTCACAGCTTGCCACTCAGGGAGTGGTAGCCAAGGAGCCACCTCCACCAGAACACACCAGAGACCAGGATGACTCACATGGCAGCTCAGTCACCCGTGCCCAGCCTCTTGTCCTCTGAAGAGGCACGGCAGGCGCAGGGAGAATTGCTCTAAACAACCTCTCTTCTTGGTCAGAATTATCTTTAAATCCAGCCGATAGCTCCCAGTACTACCTAAGGGCAAGGTGCTTCTTGGCACAAAGCTTGTTAGCTCTGCACACACTGAGCAAGGAGGGGAGAGCAAAGGCAAGCCTAAATTTTACCTACAGATACAGAAATATCAGAATTCTCCTAGGTTTGCCCTTTGTGCTAGCCAAAGCGTTTCGTTGTGTGGCTTTGTTAGGGGCTTTGTTTGCTTTTCGGTGGTTTTTTTTCCTCAGAGAAAAAAAAAACACCAAACAAACGCACACACCACCCATCTTGGAAGACTTCATCCTGAGCAGCGGGCAGAGGTTTCCTGGCTGGCTGCCAAGGCATCTCTCCCAGTCATCGCCTGTTGCGCAAGGGGCTCTCCCTTCAAAATGGAGCCAGGCCTGACCAGCACGGAGCAGCCACCCAGCTGCAGCAGCCTCGTGATTCCACCGGGTGCAGCGTGAAAAACAAGAGTGATGCGCAGCCACCTCCTCTGGGAGAAAACCGTGGCTGTTATCCACTCCAGGTGCCTGAAGCCTTACCTGCTGGACAAAGCACGCAGCAGTGACCTCCACTGAAGTACTCTCCCTCCGGGCAGCCCTCTGCTCCCAGCCCGGGCACCATCAGCAGCGCAACCTGCAGCGGAGACATAGGTGTTTGAGTGATTCATCCTCCCGGGACAGGATAACCATCGCGGGGAGAGTTCCTGTAAAGACTTGAAAACACATTCACAAGTTCACGGGAAGCCACAAAGGAAACCCAAGCTAATTTCTGCTAAGTGTGCCACTCACAGCAGTAATTACAAGAACAAAGCTGGGGTTAAAGCAGAACCATTCAGTGGCTGACAAGCTTAGGCAACTATACCCACAGATCCCCACCTCCGTCTCTAACTTCTATTTAATTTTCACTAATTCGCTACAGCTGAACTTCAGAGGCCGAGGTTTCTACTTCGTACAAGCGATTCATTCCTCCCTCCTTCCATCTGTTTCATTCAGAAGGGTCAGTGGCAGTTTTCCTCCGAGAAGACGGAGGAACGCCCCGGAGAGCCCATCCAGCATTTCTCACTAGCTCTGTAATCCGAGTAGGCAAGTAGTTAGTTGAGTCATTAGCAAAAAATAATTTACTGTAGCCACAGGAGCATTAGGCACTTTTTTCCCTCTCCGAGCAGCCCGAGGGCTGCGCACCCCTCGGCCAGGCTCCCGAGCAGCTCCCATGCTGCGGGTTTGGGGCCACCCAAGTACATCCCTCACTTACTACACACACGCAAGAGAAAAAGGTAAAGCAGGAGGAGAAGAAGGAAAGGTGGCGAAGCTCCCCGGCGCTCATCGCCATCAGCGGCCAATTTCCAGGCTGAAACCGAGAGTTCCCGCAGCGCCGCTCATTCAACTCTCCCGCCGGGGGACTGAAAATCTCCTCCGTAATCGCGTAGTTGAGAAAACCACCGGTTTCCCCATTCAATAACGTGAGGACGATCAAAAAGCCCGACTCATAACTTTCCCCCCTCCCCCCGGGCGCGCCAGGACGGGACCCGTGAGCGGCTCCTCCCCCCC